ATCTGAACAAATTCTGAGGTTCATACAGATTTATGTACACGGTATACTTGTCTAACAATCTTCGAGTTGTGTCAGTACGATTACGGACACAGTACAGTACCGTCCGTTTCCCACTCATACGAAATCCGCTCTAGTTAGTAACTTACTATGACCTTGCAAACTACTTAAAAAGCAATACTTTACCCTTACGATTACTAAAAGCACGAAAAGATACTCGACCGACAAGATACTCCGTACTCCGACAAGATACGTCACGAATTAAGGGAATGCTCAATATTTATCAGGAGGGGGTGTGGTTGAGAATCCAGGGGGGGGGGGGCAAAATCTAATTTTATGTGTTAAAGAGGGGGGCAACGTCTAAAATTAAAAATAACTTTAATTGGAAACTGAAAAATCAACGGTGTCAGATTCTGTGTGCTTTTTGGACAAATACTTATTGAAGTGCTTCTCAAGAAAAAACGTGCCACAATTTGCGACAACTTTTACATACAACTTCTGACCTCGAATATCGATATATCATTATATTGGGTGGTTGGATCATGCGTAATGTAATATGACTTTCTGCTAGCTTACGGCAATCATGCATGGGGTTATTACGTCATTATGTGGTCCTCAGACTTCTAAAAGGCTCGCAATTTTTGGCACAGGAGGCCCAAAACATCCTTTTTGGCATATTTATGTCCCCAAGGCGTTTCAGTTTTCTTCTTTTTTCTTCTTTTCTTTTTTTAAAGTTTGCCAAAATAATTATAGYTTTAAATTAAAACTGATGCAAAAATTGCAAGCTGTCAATCAAACTGTACATGATWTATATTTTTAACACTTAAAAGTGTTGTGGRGCGTTKTTGGGCCAATGTTTAATAATATGCATGGGAAATGCCATCAAGCGAAACATTCTAAGGGAGWCATATTTTGACCGTTTAATCGTTAACCATCAGCTATTGCTGCAAATCTCTACAAGGTGGGTACGGGTAGCGTAATAYACGTTCATCTGTTTCTACACTATTTGGGTTTTGCAAAACCACAAGCAACCACAATAAGACTTCTGAAAATGTAAGTAAATGTTAGTTAGCACAATTTCCACTGCTTATTTCGATCTAGTATCAGAAACAAATTCAGTTCAGTGCAAAATGTCAAAGCTTAAATATGTACAAAATCTTTTTTCTATAAATTATATACACCGATATTCATGCGGTGCGAAAGCCTCACTCTAAMAATTACCATTTTTTTAATACTGAAGCACCTTTGCTTTCTTCAATTACGAAAAGAAAATCATATGTCAGTATTATACCATTAAGCTCGATTCAATGATATGAAATAGGTTTTTAAAGTCAACCAAAAAAGCGAAGTTTTAAACAACAGTCTCGATCTGTGCGCTGGTTTGCGCGACAGCTAATAATCAGTCAAATAACGAGGTATATGCAGTTATACTTTGTAACGCAAGACTAACCCTAAAAAAACAAAATGCATAGATACCGTAGCCGACTTAAATTTGTGTCCTCTCCTTCAATATGATATATCAAAGCAACGCGAGCTGGCACGGCTACTTTTTACAGCAGTTTGCCAAAAAGCAGGTCCATACACGCATAGATAATGTTTCACTCACGCGAAACTGTTTGCTGTATTTAATTAATAATACTCCGACACTTTTGATCTTATGGACGGCAAAAACTGTTTTTCTTAAATAAACGGTAAAACTTCATGGTATAGTATACGGTACAAATTCATAGAGAAGAGAAACATCATCAGGTCGAAAATTATAATAAAATCGATCCGTAAGTACATGGCTAAATGTAGCAACACTTCATAATCAAATATGCAAATTTCAAAGCCATGTACAAAGTTTGTGYGCCTTATATATATACACACCTATGTTCAAAAAACGTTGTCGTCACCAAGACACTACGGTACACAGTCTCGAGCCTGCAAAGAATCTCGGGGTTTCCATACGTAACTAATATTTTAAAAAAATATGTAAAAAATATTTGCCTATGTGGTTTGAATTCATTGGCGTCGAACACTACTAATTTTTTGGGATATTTGGCAAAAATGAATTTCGTCAAAATGCGGTTTCCGTTGCCTAGGCTACTAGGTTGGAGCTAAATATTATGCCAGACAAAACTTTGATCAATGTTTTATAACTGGTCCAAACAACAAATAAATCGGTGCAGGCAAGATTTTCAAAAAGCGAATTTAAAAGGAGAGGTATGGTCGAAAAAATTAATGAAATTCTACTTTATTTTTATTTTCTTTGACATGTTATGAATATGAAMAAAGAATGATTTGGGAAGACAAACGTAACCTGGACACGGTATGTTCCATGAAGTGTTTCTTGTTTTCAATTTGTTTTGCGTCCCCCAGGGGAAATAACATGTTCAGTCATGTTCAATATACAGCAAAAGTTTTACAATAGTTGTGCTCGTCAATTAACAAAGGATTACACATACAGGTAGTCCAGAATTATTATCAAAGAACGATGATGTATTGCCTTAGACCGTTATCAATTTTGAATTTTAATYAGTTTCAAAGTAGTCTCGGAAAAATGSCTTCTAAAACCACTGAAAACTTGTGAAAACTACCTGTGGGTTACATAACATAAGGCATTACCAAAAWGAGGTTGATTATATGACCTGAATCGTCTACCAGACTCTGAAAGCTTTTTTCTTTTGTTTTGTGTCCCCAAGGGAAAAAAACTTCAGGACAAATATACCTAAAGTTCAACAGGTTTAAGTCGCTTTTAATATAAGTGCCGTGATCACTTGGCTTAGTCTATAAGAACACAAAAATCAAGCCCTTTTACAAAAGCCTGTTTAAATAGACTGAGACTCTATATATAATATTCACCATGTAGCATTCATTAGATGGGCACTGTTGGTTGGCAGAAGATGCGCTACACACTTGATGCAGATATCAGTTCCTGGCAGGGAATGAAATAAAATTTGTCAGACTGCCAATACTGTGTATGAGGTATGTGTCTCCTGACATGATAATTTATCGCTATGCCAAAACGATAACTCATTGTGAATCCAACAGGATAAGAAAGAAAGTTATTCAGACGACAAGTAAAAGTTTGACTGCTCAGTTTGAAAAATACTAAAGTACTGCAGTTCTCGGTTCCCCACATATATGAATTTCGGGACTTTTTATAAAGCACAAAAAAGCGACTTTCAAGGATTTTTTTTTTTTTAAATAATGTTTGGGAATGTTTCCAGCGTCGAATTTGGAAGATACCCGTATTTCAAGTTGGAGGTCTTTAGATGCAATATAGTTGTAGATTATAGTAAATAGAAACAAAAAAAACCGTGAAATAGGTATTGCACTAACAACCTTTAGTACKCTTTAATTGCTCTGTTTCATTTGTGTCTATTTGTCTATCACACTTAGTTAATAGTTAAGTTTTGTTTTACGGGTTTAATGGCTTCACTCTGTCTTTCTCTTTGAAAAAGAACTTAAATGTCCTAGACCTTCGCTATTTGATAAAAGAATCCAGGTTCTAGCTGGCAGGTAAGTATACTGTTATTATATAGGCTGATTTACACGGTACGATTTGTCGCGCGCGACTTGTAGTATACGACTTGAATCCCGCAGTGTAAATGCCCCTACGACTTGTCTACAACAGTCGTACGCAACCTACGACTTGTAGTAGGATTTTGATCCACTGCTTAAAATCCTACGACTTGTAGTAGGAAAATCGTATACTACAAGTCGTACGCGACAATCGTAGCGTGTAAATCAGCCTTATTACCTCCAAAGAAGGTAGATAGAAAGGCCACAATAGCGGTCACAATATTAGTTTTAATTGTAAAGTGTTACTCTCGTTGAATCAAGTCAGGCCAGTATGCCGGGTGTTCGGGGTACTCGGACAAAACACCAACCCCCGCTCCCCCACAAGCTTAAATGCATGGTCCAGTGTACAACGCCCCGTACCACCTCCCCCCCCCGACACACACACCTTTTTTAATTGTTCTATTTTAAAATTCTTTTGTTATAAACAGTTTGTGAGATTGTATTTTGTTATGCTCATTCTAGCAGCCAGTTCTTACACACTATAYCTGTGCCATTKAACTAATTTATTAGTTAAACATTTATTAGGTCCCGGCACTCTGGAAAAAACCCTCCACTTGTGAGGCAGCCTACGGGCCTGAAAGTTATTATTACATGATGATTATTAATATCATTCTTAGTCTGAAACACTGGTCACATGACAAATCCAATTTTGCTCTCAGWAAAACAACGGGCCGTTTGCATTAATCGCTCACATGGTACAAAATCCGCCATACTGGATGGAAATTTCGAATGTATGTGGCCATATGGCAATCTGAGTCGACCAAGGAGGGATAATTTTGTTTTTGAAGTTTCCTACTCTTTGTCTTAATGCAAAATAGCTCTTTTTAGTTGTCTAAAGATTATTTTTATAGCCGTATGAATACCAATTACCATCTAGTATTTTTGGCGGGAATCTTACCATGATCCGAATTGATGCAAAGGAAGTATTGTTTTTGGGACTCATTCATTCGTTTTAGAAGTACACGTCCATATATAGTGACCTTACCTTATTTAGAAGTCCGCTTGAACTATTTTTGGRTCATAATTTAACGTTTTTTGTCGTTAATTTGCTGGAACTTCCAGATTTTCGAGAACAAGCAAAAACCAACATGTCGAGTTCCTTCGTGGCATGGCATTAAAAACGAAAACGAGGCCGAGCCACAGGGATACCAGTCGAACGTATAGCCCAATTTAAAAATTTTGATTGATAGTTTAATAAACCTCTTACTAAATAACTGAAGGCGAAACTTCGGGGAAACAATACATAATCATTTTTTTCACTGATTCTCGTCCTCATTTCTTTTGTTCTTGAAACTATTGAACTTCACGGGAATAAAAAGAACAAATATGAAGGTGGTTTTATTTCATTTTGATTTTTGATTGATTTATTTTTTTACAAATTTCAGCAAATATAAAGTTTGGGCTGCCTGTGATGTTTTAAAACAAAGATGATGGAAAATAAAAATACAGACGAAAAACAATTGAAAATATGCTCTTGCAAAGAGCTGGAGTCTCTTAATGCTACCACGATTATCAGTACCTACGACAAAAGCAGCAAAATGAATCAGCTTGATGGTATAACTTCATGGATTGTGTGCTTGTGTGTCGTCATGACRAACTCCATACTTTTTGGTACTATGTTTATATATGGTATATTCTTTCCATTCCTTCTGAAAGAGTTCCAGGAAAGCAAGTCAAGAACAGGTACGAATACGTCAGTAGTAGCGTATCCAGTCAAGCCATATGCTCTTCTTTTGACCGATATCACTTGTTAACGCAATTATTGCATCCTAATATGCGCGTGGTGGAATGCAAAATCATATTTCCTTTTATCATATAATCATATATGAAATACCTATAGTTCTCGCTTTCGATGAAAAGTTGTTATTTTCTCCGTGTAATGAAAATAACACATTTGAGGTTCCTCTATATATTGGAAGTAAAAAAAGGTATTTTACGACATACAATTTGCTGTCATATATAATTATACATGATAAACAGAACATTACATGGCCGCGCGGAGATATAAATTTTATCTTCTCGTGTTGAAAATCTCGCTACACTCACTCGTGAGAGATCTTTTCAGCACTCGAAGATAAATCCGTGTCTCCGCSCGTCCATATAATATCATCTATGTTACAATTACAGCTCTTTTCTTTTCTCACAGCTCTTGTAGCATCTTTGTCGATGGGCGTCCACACGCTTATTGGTCCAATCTCATCCAAGATCTGCCTTACTTTAGGATTCCGCAACGCGATGATACTTGCAGGTCTAGTGAGCGCATCAGGACTTCTAGGATCCTCGTTTGCTCCAAACCTTTATATCCTCTACCTGGGCTATGGATTRGCATTAGGATTTTCAGTCTCTGTGGTTTATGTTGGAGCATTTCAAATCATCCCTCTGTACTTTGACAGGCATCGTTTTTTGGCAACAGGTGTTTTAGCTGTTGGACCTGGAGCTGGTCCTTTGATAATGAGCACTATTGTGCAAGCAATTCTGGATCATATCGACTGGAGAAAGACAATGATGGTGTTGGCTGGTATGCAACTGTTACCCTGTTTACTGGGATGTACAATTTCAAGGAGAAATGAAAGGATAAAAAATGAGAGGATTGTAGGGCAGGCTGCATCATTGCTCACCAAGGAAAGGTTGTGCAAGTGCTTAAGTTTATTGGACTTTACTTTGTTAAGGGATCCCTTGTTCATGATGATTTCAATTTCATTTGCAATATCTATACTTGGAAATTATACGCCGTACTTCCATTTGGTAAGTTGCACRCTGCTTTGTCTTTTCCATTTGTATGACGTCATGTGCGATTTCCGGTAAGATGGACTATGGGATTGCTGAATTTATAGTACAAATCGAAATACAGTAAGGTTGTTGTCTGATTGGCTGTTTTTACCATTTTTTCTATTTAATATTTGTAGCAGAATCTGAGATCCTACTAAAACTTATCTCATAGTCTCAAAAAATAATCACCAAAAACAAGTCTACACGAAGGCATTTTTTATATAAAGATCAAGACATTTACGTAAAAAGATAAATTTAACACCGTAAAAAAGTATGTGGAAAAACTTACTAACGTTTCGGATGTTAATCCTTCGACGAAGGATTAACATCCGAAACGTCAGTAAGTTTTTCCACATACTTTTTTACGGTGTTAAATTTATCTTTTTACATAACTGTTTCTTTAGAAACACCGACGCAGCTCACACTAGTTTACCGCTAGTTCCCACCATCAAGACATTTAGTTTTGTGAATTAACTTGCAACTTTTAAACCATGCCCGTATCAACGAATGCGGGCCGGCTTGAACTGAATTTAGTACCAAGTGAGGACAAGAGCTATTCACTCCAGCGCCATAAATATTTTGAGCGTAAAGTTTTTGTCTCTAATCTGTTATTATTTTGCTTCATCTCTAGGCTCAATACGCTGCCGAGCTTGGAATACCAGGTGAGAGTTCTTCCTGGATGTATTTCTCAATCGGAACTGGATCAATGGTATTCAGAATCCTAACTGGAAAATTACTGGACACTGGTCTCATTCCACCTTTGAGGCTGTACCAATTGGCAATGATCGTCTTCACCATCGCACACTTCTTAGTACCTTTGACAAAGAACTTCGTACTTTTAGTTGTATATTCATCCGTGAATGGGATTTGCGATGGTATATTTGTAACGGCAGCCCTATGCATGATTCTTAAAGCATACCCTGGAATGGGTCTTGGATGGGCGTTATGCTTTCAAGGTTTTAGCTTCCTTATTTGTCCTGTTCTTGCAGGTAATG